AAGCAGTAGCGAAACCCACTAGCAAGGAGTTTCATCCTCCCCTAGAGGCTGGGTCCGCAAACAACCACCACCTAGTTCTGCTACTACTGTTCACTGCAATCCTGCTTCTGGTCTGCCTCATGTCATCGAGAGAAGGGGTGTCACCAGATCCCCACCAGTGGCAGCAGGACAAATGGCGGCAGTGGCTAAAATATTAATACAGCTGTTGCCTGCTCCCCTGCACAGCAGAAACACATCCCCAACAAAGTTCTGTGCCCTTAATTTTGGGCCCTAACCTGAAATCCCAAGCCTTCCAAGAGCCCCATTAGCTAAACAAAACAGTTCTCCACAGACCAGACCTTTGACCCCCTCCCCACTACAATCTATTCAGTAATACTTAACCTGACCAAGAATGACAATTTTTGTCTCCCTTGACTGAGGGTATTTCTAAAATTGCATAACAGCTCTTTTAGCAAGAACAAACTGATGATCTATTAATGCTATGACACTGGGCTCGATGCAAGAAGTCACCTTCAGTATTGTTCCATTAACTTATCGTCTTATGAAATCGTAATTAAAAAAATCCTTAGAAAATACTGTTGTGTTACACATCAGGAATACATGGCAGATGCAATCAGTTTTATACAATTCTGAGGAGAGGGAACACTGACAATACAACCTCCGCTTATGTTCACCTTACCTTCATCACCAGCTGTTTAATGAACATGAGTAAGAGTGCTCGCAGAGAAAATATCTCTTTCTGATTAGGTCGGGGTCCATCTTTAAAAAGAAAAGCAAATATTTTATGCTACACATGAAGAAAACTATACTGACATTACAGTACACGGATATATTTTTTACTTAAAAGTCTTAGAAAAGTATAAAGTATTTGTTAGTTTATATGCAAGAAGACAATCAAATGCAGTCGTTTGCTTTTGTTCCCTCATAAAACATGCTTTAGTGAAATGCACTGAATACTACGAATATGGACAGACATCTGACCAACCCTCCTTGTGCTTTTAAAGCACTCCAAAAACTGCAGGTGCAGACATACACAGTGCATGAAACACTCCAAAGCAGGTCATTTTGCCTCAAAAATAACCCCAGACAGAACAACTCTGAAACATTTCACTGTGAAGCACTACACCTTGACTATTTGGCTCTGGGTTTTTTGTGGGTTTTTTGCTTGCTTTGTCCCCCACAATCACACTGGGACTTGGTTTGGGGAAGAAGCAGGCAACTCCTGCAGGGGCTGAGGGGTAGAAATTTATGACTTCTGGGAAGTGATGGGCTGGTGAAGAGGTGGTGGCTATGTTCTCAGCATAACCAGTTGGCTTTGGCTGTCAGTTAAGTCCACTCTGGATTCTGCACCAGAACTTTCCACAGGTCCTTGTTGTCTCCTCTCCTACCCTCAAAACTGGCTTAATTACTACCCCTTTCACTACTGTGAGTTGTTGTTATGGCTTGGGACAAGAGCCCAATGCAAGGATGCCAAGGAAGATCACAGGCCCCTTCTCCCAAACTTACTAGATGCATCTCCCTATTTTTGGGGAGCTCCTTCTACTTTTCCTCTAACTTCCCCAAACCACCCATACCCAAGCTGGCTCTCTGTTACCCTACCTGCTATTGTCTCCAGTGAATGCCACCCATGAGTGCTACACACCAAACAGTTTTCCCTGGGAGAGTGCAGTCAGTGTCACTCATGTCTCCATGAGGGGCAGTGTGTAGGTAGGAGAACACTGCTGCTGTCACTGTGCTGGAGGGGTGAACCTTACAGGTGGCTGCCTGTGTTGCCCATGTCTCCTGGCAGCTAAGGCCTAGGTGCTGTGGGAGGCAGAGGGCTGGCTTGTTGCAGGTAGCTGTAGGGAAATGGTTGTGGGTATTCTGTGAGGATGAGGGAGACATGATGTTCACACACTGGTCTGGTGTGAAGTTGTGGGGACGGAGGGTCAATCAGGATGGGAAGAGTAGGAAGTGGGAAGTGAAGCACTGTGGGATGTCAGATAATCTTCCATTGCGCTGGTCATACTAACCACCACCAGCTGGTTGCCCAACCGTTATCTGAGGCACTCCCAATTGTTCCTCCGAGAGGCACTGGTAAGCAACAAAAAGCAAGCCAATCTACTAATACCACAGATAACGTCTTACCACCTGCTATTGTTTGCAAGGTTCCTGTAGGAGCTGGCTCTAGCAACATAGCCACCACCCCTTCACTAGCAAATTGCTGACCAGAAGTCATAAATAAATACCCCTCAGAATCGCTTCTTCCCCAGTTCCAGGAAAAAATGAAACAAAAGAGCAAATAGTCAAGGCACTGTTTTTATTCACTAACTGGCAATTTCAGGCAATGCAGCAGTTATTTGGGTGGACGAAGGATGGAAAAGCCAAAGCTTCCCAGAAGATGACAGCTCACCCTCCTTCCTTGCCTAAGCTTCAACAGCAATAGGTGACCGCTGTTACAGCAAGGTGCAAAAATTGCTGAAGAACATGAACCTAGAATAAAAAAATTCACACAGTGCACAAAAGTAATACAGGGAATCCTGGGAACCCCAGAGAAATAGAACAATTTGCATTTTTCACAGCATGAAGTACAGTCCCAAAAGCAGCCCTTGCAGAGATCACTCATTTGCCAATGTGGTTTAACAACATCCTAGGAAGTTTCTTCACTATCATTGATCTTAGCCAAGCCAGCTTCTGACCAGGATGTAGGAGGTGGCAAGGCACCTGTAGATTCAGCTGTGGTGTCTGGGGTCCAGGCATCATGGGGCTGAGACAGGAGATGCTGGTGCTGGGTCCGTCTAGCTGCCTTGGGGAACTTGCAGAGCTTCAGCAGGCAAGCTTTGCAGGAATGGCAATTGGGATCTTCTGGAACCTTGCAGCCATCATGGGAGGAATGCCCCGAGCCCATCAAGCTCTGAGGAACTTGGAGTCTCCACAGGGATTTTTCTGTACTCCCTATGCCAGAAAGGTGTTGATGATGTTCCTTAACAATTCCCAGTTGTTCAGGGACAGGTACTGGAAAATCCTGTAGAGATGCTCCAGCAGCCAGGACCTCACAACGAAGGAGGTCCTCTTCTTTCCATAGAACCACCAGAACAGACTTTCCATGTCCAGGAGGCAAGATTCTCAGGGAAGACAATGTCCTTCAGGAAGAGGCAACTGTAGGACTTGCCCCAGCTGCCCTATACGGCTTCTGTCTCTATGGCAACAGCCATGTAGAACAGGGAAGTTCCCTTGTAGAATTCATGCATGCAAAATTATGGGAAATAATGGATAGAATCCAGGGCACGGTCCTGCATGTTTCACCATGCTAATGGGTTCCCTTATGCTGGTATCAGCTCAGTAAAGATCTCCAGGCAGACACATGGCTCATTTTAAATCTCTGCCTTCTCTGTTTGTCATCTCATGTCCCCAAGACTATAATCTCCAAACTGCTGCTGTTCAGAAAAGCTAGTACGCAATCTGCAGGTAGTCTGAGAGAAAGCCATCCTCCATGATGTCTGAGGATGATGCCATCCATACAAGACATATTGTAGTTGGCATGCAGAGCAAGTAGCATATATTAAGGAAACTTTTAGAGAGTGCCTGACAGCCAGTCTCAGTCCCTTACACTACCATGCTTTTGTTGAGCTGGAAGAGGATGGAAAACATGCCTAGATCGGCCTGGAACTTTCTACCTCTGTCAAAAATGGAGGTAGAACCCCTGCTAGACCAGGGATTGCAAGGTGAGGAGATGGCAGGCCTCCATTCCTGGCTCCTTGAGGAAATGGTGTCACGTTGTAGCAGATGAAACCTCCTGAAGTGAAGCCAACCAGGCCCACAGCGGCAGTGAGCGCACAGCCAAGTCGGGTGGTGGTGTGATCAGACAGTCAATAAGACTCTCCCCTTAACAATCCTCAGAAGACCCCACCAACTCTGGCCTAAAAAGCAAGCTAAGAATCTCTGCTTTCTATCTTGGAAGCTGTAAAACTCTAACACAGCAGGGACTCTGGACCATTTTGAAGTGGGAGATTTGATGCACTTCAAAAGAATGTCTGTCCATAATATAACTGTCCTAATAGAATTCCTATTAAATTCAGTCTTATAAATCCATACGTTAAAATTGGTCTTAACTTCTCAAGTTAAACTATTTTGTTTTGCCATTCTTTTGCAAGTCAACCACTGCAATACCAAAGAGGATGTAAAAATTGGTCAAAAAACTACTTTGCTAATGAAAGGTAAAGTAAATGTAGACATACCTAATCCTTTTGGAGTGATTCCACTACGATCTTGAGGATTCACTACCCAGTAGTAATACTTTAAAGTGTGCATTACCAGAAGAACTGTCCCAACTCGCCGAATTGCATTATATATGTTAACAGTGCCAATGAACTCAGTAGACAGGTACGTGTACAAGATCAACTGAACCTACATCACCCAGTAAGGAAGTAAAAATGTCAATTAAACATTCACAGGAACAGGGAGATGAGTTAAAATACTAGTCATAGGCACGTGACCAGTATTTTAACTATTATGACTAAAAACTAGGAAAACTTAACAACTGTTGAAACGCAGGGTACCTATACATGAGTAGCAAAGCTACTCTGACATGCTATAGTTACAGGCCATTGCAGTAGGCTCAATTAATCAAGTCTGATGAAACATGGTAATTACCACAGTCCAGCAGACTCCAGCGTCTCTGTGCTTAAAAATCATGGGGAGGAAAGGAGGAGGGCTTTAACTAAAGCTCGAATTAACTTTAGTTAAAGTGACCCTGCTACCATTTTTAAGCATGGGGACACTGATACATGAGACACTCCAGGAACTTTAATTAGAGCTCCCCACAACCTCTTCCCCACTCCTGGAGCACATGTATAAACATCCTAGGAGTTTAGATTGATTTGGCCACACGCCTCATCGTACTTGGATTTTTTGTTAAAGCCCCAGCTTGTGGAGTCACACAGGGTCAAGGAATTGCACTTAACATGGTGCCAAATTTAATGTCATTATTTGTCAACCCTAGCCTCAGCTCTGGGGAATGTAACTCAGGTGTAGTTTTTAAAAGGTTTGGGGCTGACAATAAAAGCATTTTCATCCAGCTGCAAGAACAACAATTTTATATCACTACCCTCACCTAGGGCAAAACAACAGGACACTTAAGATTTCTAGTACAACAGCTGTGAGAAAGAGAAGGGAAAAAACATATCCATGTTTGTAAAAGTATCGGTACAGATACTGCTGCTGACATGAATGCACATCTTAATGATTAAAGGGACTGACAAATTTAAGCAACCTTTCAAAAACTGTTTTTTACTATGCTGTACTTGGTTTGTTCTGATCAGACCTGAAAAAAGTCTTCCATTTGAAAGCTTGTCTACCTATGCCCACTATTCAGTTGGTCCAATAAAAGATATCACCTTAAAAAATCCTTTCCTCTCAACCATATTATTTGAATGTGTTCAATTAAGAAGCCTGAAAATTAATTTTGCTAATACCAAACCAGGTACATTACTGTATAACAACTTTCTAGGAACCCGGGTCTCTTTCCATCATTTTTGGAATATTTGCTATTTATTTTCGTGTTTTTCTGTTAATAAAATAAGTCTTTTTGCTCATGTTCTAGCATTCACTGTACTTGTACTGACTAGAAATTAGTAGAGAACTATAAGTAAATAATTTTAAACCCCAAAATATTTTACACACTTAGTCAACCTTTAGTATCACTGTAATGATAGATACTTGGTTTACAACATGACTAAATGTGGAATCAATTGATGAAGTTCCATTAAGCTCTATATTCTTGCCGTAACAGAAGAGCAAATGGAACTGTCAGAGAATAGCACTCTATTTTAAATAGATTCTTAACTGGCGTGATGCAAATAATCTTGTGCTACAGATCAAAATGTTTAAAACAACAATGCACTCTTTAGGCAGAGATTACTTTCATACAGTATTTAGAACAGAGACACCCTTGATCCTGATGGGGCTTTGGGTGCCACTAAAATAAATAATTAGGAATAAAATGAATGAAGTGCATCTGATCCTGAAACAGCACTCAAATAACAAAAATAAAAACATTTTACCTTTGCTGGGGTATGAATCCATATTGCTGGATTAAGAAGAATGTGATCACAAAGCTGCTTGAGCAAGGGCACTCCATTGTGCAAGTTACTCAAGTATTTAGCAAAGGCAAGGCATAGTTCTAGCACAGCTCGGGTAACATGGACTTTGGAAGACTAAAAAAAAGAAAACAAAAGAAAAAGAAGGATTTACTTAGGCTAGCCTTTATCAAACTGTTTTAAAATTTTGTGATGAAAAAATATTAACATGCTAGGTTTTGCAGGTGAGGGGGATAGGATAAGAAAGAAGTTCAGTAAGCCAATACTGGGTAAGCACTGATTTTGGTTTACCTTTTCCAGACTATATCCTATCACATGGAAGCCCTTACAGGAAAGCATCTGTTCTTGCATAGCAATGGAGTTCTTCAGTAACTCCATGATGAAAGCCAACAACGTGGAACTGCAAAATGTAGCGCATTAAAAAAATAAGATATTCACTTTCTTCTTAAAGAAATAGCATGAGGTTCACAGGCATTAAATAGAAAAAGCTCCTAGTAGAGCACCTTCCTTTTACAGTACATACATTCATTTAACATGATTTAAGTGGTTAGATTAATATTTGAAATTATCTAAAGACTATGAAAATATATTTAAGACTGTAAGAAGCCAATCTATTTCACAGCTTCAATCAGTTTTTCTTCATCTTCAAATCCTGGACTTAGTGATACCCACCCAGTGGTAAAATGCTTTTAAAGCAAGTGATCTCAGGAAGTTTGCACTTTCATCTTGCTGTTTTATATTTCACTTTTACTTTCAGATTGAAATGTTCTACTGTACAAAAGACCTGTATTCCATTCCAACTGCCATTGACTTGGTTTCAGGCCAGATGCTGCTGGAATCAACCGCTCAGAGTGCCTAAGAGGCATTGCTTTTTTATCATTCCTAAACCGGCTGAGAAATTCCCATAAAGTTCAGCCACTGGATGCTTGCTTGCAAAAAAGCAATGAAATTAAGAAAACTCTCAATTTACAAGTTTAACAGTAACACTGAAGGGAGAAAAGGAATTTCTACATCTTTGTCTGTAGAAATTCATTAATGGGGATTCAAAAAATGTCTGTCTTTTTTATTTGTTGTTTCCTTTTGAAAGTCAGCTTGAACTCTACCTCAAAATAGGCTTTTCTGTTTATTTTGTTTTATTTCTTCCAACGTATAAAGGTATTCATTTCTTTGTTTGAATACCTTGCTAAAAGTTTTGTTCAATTAGGGACATTCTGATCTGCTACTCTCCTCTACTCACTACTTTCACCAACTCCTAGTCCATGAATAAACACATACATTTAAAAACAAAAAACTTATACTGTTTTATTAACAAGCACATAACTGCCTAAGTAAGAGCTATTATAAGGCCCAAGTATAAGAAGTCAGGTTAAGGTTTTACAAATGACTTTACACGCTTATCACTGCATTAATTTTAGCGTTGTTTTACTTCTGTGCCTCTCAACCATTACAAAGCAAGGGACTCTTTTTAGTAAAAAGAAATTAATAAATATCAACGAGTTCATTAGTTTTAATGAAATATATGTTCTTAAACTTAAGCCTCTCTGGCCTACTGTTGGTTAATACCTGATGCTGTTGTGGTCTATGTATCTGTTTCCATGCACAGCTGCAATCATAACGCAAAATAATCCTGACTTTAGTTCAAGGTCCTGTGTAGGCAAAAGACCTCTGGTGCTGAAAACACAGTGTGTCCAAACAATAGTACCATAATGGCATTAAGCTTCCACTTTACATCTAACAGAAACAGGCATGTTCACGTGCGTAAACTGGCTATTTTAACTATGTCTATTATTCACTGTGTATTTCTATCTAATGTACAGTAACTTCAATTTATAGTACATATATGCGTCTGAAAAAATTTTCTATTACTTGTAACTTTAGTTTCAGGAAAAATGTTCTTGGATAATTTAAATTAAGAAAAAGATCATTTCATTTCAATAGAAGAGTGGAAAACTAAAGTATCTAGACACACTCACCAAACAGTTGCATCAACTTCATCCAATGAGTATTGCCTATAGTCTAACTGTGCAAACAGAGGAAAAAGTACCTGCACTCCTCCAACTGAATGCATAGCACTTTGGATGGAGTGAGTTAAGACTGCTTTCACATCCTAACAAAGAAGGAAAACAAAAAAAAATTAAAACCTTTTTCACAACTCATTTTAAAAATGATGGTTTGATAGAAAGTCAAGAGCATCTTTCTTAAGAAATTGGACTGATACCATATTGCTATAAAAAGGCTACCCTGGGAGAAGTCCCTACTGCAGGGGTGTCAAAGGCCTGCAGGCCAGATCCAAAGCATGAGTTGCTGGACCTACTCCATGCTCTGGCCCCCGCCACACATGCAATGTGCAGTGCAGGGGCTGAGCCCTGTGCTGCAGGCACTACTGGGGACCAGCATGGGGTGCATGCTCCATGCAGCACATTGCCAGACCCCAAACCAATGCACATAACAGCTCCAGTCACCTGTGCTGCCTGCAGTGCTGGGTCTAGCCTATGCACCACATGCAACTCTTCTCCTGTACCAGCTCTGTGGGGTGGCATGTACAGTGCGCAGGCTGGACCTCACACTGCAACCACTTCACAGGGGGTTAAGTCACAGCCCAGGCCACTGACTCAGGGATGCTCACCTGGCCGCCAGGGCTGGAAGACTGTGACACCCCTGCCCTACTATGATGCCTTAAAAAAAAACAAATCATGGCTCCTGCTAAAAGGACAGGTCCAAGAGGGGCCCAAAGTAAGGTCTTTCTACCGCTGTAGTGAATTACAGTGTTAGAGACCCTGGCATAGTAGAAGGAATAGTTAGAAGAGAATGTCCTCAGGGATAGGAATCTGGACTGTCAGATTCTGAGTGGGATGGAATGGAGAATGAGGAAAAAGCCTGTGCGCAAAAGTTGAAATAATATCTTTGGTACGAGTTTGTTTTTTTAAGCACATAATCTTACTGAAAAAGGATCACATTGAGATTTGAGGATGAAAATATGTACAAGTTCATTTAGGGAAAGAATGGATGGCACAACCGCACCCAAATGAGGGCATGTGGTCCTAGTTGTTCATGAAAAAACTGAGCTATGCACTGAAAGGAAGCAACATGGGCTTGAGGAGAATGGGTATGGCACGTGATGCATTTCTGGAGATAGTAAGGAAGGAGGCGTCTGATTTAAGGCAGTAGTAAGAACACAGAGAAGTGATAGTTTGAAGAGCTATGTGCAGTTCTTTGCAACTCCTCCAGTATAAGAGGACAAGCAAGGAGAAAGGCAGAGTTTTGTTAGTTTTTACTTCTCCATGTATTATTAGGGCCCCTGTACCTCAGAGGTCTGAAAATCATGTTTTCAGGACCTGACAAACACACCATTTTTCTTCTCAGAAAATCAGCCAAAATGTCAAAATACCTGCAGCATGAGGGCATGTGGAGAATGAACAAAGATAGATGAGTTATCCTTGGGTGAGGATTCTAAACAGAGCTGTGCATCTGTAGCCCTTGGATTGTACATGAAAGCAATTGCACTGGAGAGTTTGCCATCATACAGCAACATTTTGTGATGCTCAGCAAGAAATAGATCACTTTCTGCCTTGAATTTGAATGTTCCCTGGAAAGGTGGAGAAAGAGGGAGGAAAGAGAAACACATTAAAAGGTTACTTGCCCAAAGGGACAGTCATTAGAAACAACACAAATACTGATGAAAATCACAGGATTTCTCCTCCTCAACTCTAGCAACATGCAAGAAGAAAACAATCCCACTATGAATATTTGTAGTTCAGGACTGATTTTATAGTTAGTATTATATAACTTCTTTGCCCCAGAATGACACTACCCACCAGGGAAGGGTAGTGTCATTTAAACTTCTCCTTTAGATTAAAAAAAACTTTAGTAAGTAATACTGCCTTCTATTAAAAAATGTTCACTCAAAACACTGTTTAATATTTGGGATAGGGATGAAGTGAGGACCATTCTTCCATCATGTGTTTGTACAGCTCCTAGGGCATATTGCGATCTGCCTAGAGCCCAAAGCTACTACAATAAAGATAAGTCAGTGTAACAAAAGTACACCACAGTAGTAGCCTTGCTACTCATTTTTTCTTCAGTGTGTTGAATTAGGCATCACGATACTAGCCTGCATAAGGAAATGGATCTCAAAGCAATTAATATTTAGCATTTTATTCACTTAGTATGTGAACAGATAAATCAATAATACCTAGTTAAGAGAGAAGAGTTACTCCATATGAGCTGCTGCACAGTAATTAGATTGTGTGCTCACTCAAACCTGTGCTAAACAGAAGCTAAAACCAGGGCAGTTTATATCTGAAACAACTGTCTTACTACCACAGGACAGAGTGAACAAATAAAACAGTTACCCCACATGATGAATTAACCCACAGTAATTTCCCCCTTTAATTTGATATATAATTTGTTCATTCATCCTCAGACAACAACTTCCTTCCCTATTATTCTCACTCCCAGCAATAGAAGACTTTTGCCCATACCCATCAACAGAAGCAGGAACTGAGAAATGAAAAATGGAGATACTTATTTTAACCTAGTTTTAGCATCAAATTTAATAAGTTACTGTTTGAAGTGGTGTTTGTCTAAAACATAGATAGCCTTTTTTGACACTAGCAACCATGTCCATTGTGTTGTTTCCAATGGCACACTGAATTTGATTGGGAATGCAATAATTTCATGTCCATGACAAACTTTTCCTACTATTTATTAGTTCTCTCTCTTTCCCCTTTTAAGTATTATAACTGTTAATTAATAATTAATCAATCATTAATTAATCTATAAATATATGTAACAGTTTAATAAACAGAAATTGCCTTGTAAGAAAACTGGTACATGCAATTGCCATAGAAATCTCAAAAACCTCCAGAAATTGATTGAAAGAAACCTTTCAAAAATTATTACTTCAACTCCAAGATACCTTGTATCCCAGCCCAAGCTGATAAATGGCAAAGATCTGAGCAGCATTAAGAGCCTCACTGAAAAGGTAAACAGCTGTCATTTGTCCACAAAAAACTCGATTGGCATCTGCTGTTTCTGAAGAACCCAGGAAGCATTTATCAAATGTCTGAAAACAGAACAGAGAATCAAGTTACACTAAATATAAAACAAAAAAAATTAAAATAAAATAAATAATCAAATTGATTAAATCTGAACTACGCAAGTATAAATCAATTGTTTAGATATTTATTAATGTTAGGAAGATATTTTATTTGATCAGGATAAACATTTTTTAAGCAAGTATAAGGCTGGTTGCTCGGGTCCATAACATTTTCATAAGGTTACATGAAAAATTAAATATTTTTTTTCCAAAAGAGGTCATTAAGTGGGTATTTTTTTTTAGAGTCAAACAACTACAAAACATTTTCTGCTAATTTAGAGATTAAGCAATTCCTGAAATTTGAGGAAAACATGTTTTATATTTACTAATACAAAAATAAGATATCCTTAACAGTTTTAGTGCATCTAAACAAGGATGTACCTACAAGAACACATGTGGAAGACAAAAAAAAAACCAACAAAAGACCCCCAAAGAAACAAAAACACTAAACTCTTAATTAATATCCAACATCAGAGAAGTCAGATAACTCATAGTACAAGGGTAAGAGTCTTATTAACAGGACTTTTCTCCCCCATGTTTTAGAAGAGCAAAAACCAGACAATGGAGAGTAGGAAAGTTGAGACAATCTTCTTGTTCTCCTATGTGGCTGAATCTCGTATACATTTAAACATATGCATAACTAATTTGGGAAGTAGTGAATAGACCACTTATTCACATAATGCAATACAACTATTTAGGCACTTGCAGAATCAAGCCTATTGGGTTTGCTGACCATCAAGTCACTGATGAAATGGCATATATTACCAGCTACAGAGATGGACAATGATGGAAAGAGGAATTAAATTATGTTGAAGGATCCCATTAAAGCAAAACAAAACCCCCAAAAAACAAAACATTTTACAAACCTATCACAGCAAGGATATCAATGATGGGTGAGCAAAATGGGATGTATTAGATTCAGATTCAACCCAAATCGGGGACAGTAATTCAATTAGTTGATTCAGATCACTGTCCCCAATTCGATTCAGCCAAATCCAAATCTGAAAATTCAATACTGATTGGGAGAATCAGCGTTTTAGTCATAAACACAGCTTTAAAAGTTTTTTCTACATATCTCAGTTCTGGGCGCTGCACTTCAAGAGGGACATGGAGAACCTGGAGAGGGTCCAGAGGAGGCCATTCATATGGTTGAGGGCCTCTGTGGCCAGCCCTATGAGAAAAAGGCTGAGGGACCTGAATCTCTTTAGTCACCGCAAGAGGAGGCTGAGGGGGAATCTTGTGGCTGCCTACAACCTTATCAGGGGCCAGCAGCAGGGACTCGGGGAAAGTCTGTTCACCAGCGCCCCCCTTGGAGTCACAAGGAACAATGGCCACAAGCTGAGGGAGGATAGGTTTAGGTTAGATATTAGGAAGAACTACTTCACGGTAAGGGTGGCCAGAGCCTGGAATAGGCTTCCCAGAGAGGTGGTGCTCTCACCTTCCCTGGAAATCTTCAAGAGGAGACTAGATAGGCACCTGGCTGGGGTCTTATGACCCCTGCCACCCCTAGTGCTCCTTCCTGCCCATGGCAGGGGGTCGGACTCGATGATCTGTCTAGGTCCCTTCCGACTCATTGATTCTATGATTCTACGATTCTATGATTCAAGGTACCAGCATGAACACTGCAATGCTGGGTCGGATGGAGTGTCCCACAGGAGCACGAGGTGGCCCCCCCATGTGCTCGGCAGCAAACCCAGAAGTGGACTGGAAGTACTCCCGGGTCCGCCAGGGAGTGCGCTGGGGGCTCCCCCCTGCACCCCCGCAGCTCGGCAATCAGCTGCAGGGAGACCCTGGGTGCCCCCTCAGACCCAGGAGGCAGGGGGACACAGAGGGGCCCTCCAGCGTGCTCCCCAGTGGAGACAGAAGTGAACCGGAAATGCTTCTGGTCCTCTTCTGGGCCTGCTGCTGAGCATGCTGGGGAGCCTGTGAGCTCCTGTGTTATGCTCCACCTGCCCCAGCATCGCAGTATTCACAAGCCGCCTGGTACCCTGAGGTATGTAGAAAAAACATGTAAAGCTGTGTCTATATCTGAATCTCCAAATCTTTCTGAAACAAGTTGGAGGGTTCTGATTCGATTCAGAGAGATTAAATGGTCTCCTGATTCGATTTGGCTTCAGAGATTTGGCTACCGAATCGGGCCGAATCTCTGTCAAATTGAATCAGGGACTGAAGCTTTGCACAGCCCTAATATCAATGTTTAACAATATTCTTTTAAAATAATAACAACAAAAGTTGTTGCTATTCCAAATAAAGTGAAATAATACAAAATTAAAGTTACTTACATCACTGGTGTTAACAAACCACGTTATTTCTCCATATGATGCCAATTCCCCATTCACATAACATCGAAGTTCACTGTTCTTCCAACGGTTGTAGATGTGAACTATAGTAACCATATACCACTGAATAATAAAAAAAACCCTGCTGATATACTGAGTCTTTATAAAAGTATGTTGTTAGATCATAGAAAAAACCTTAGTTGTTATGAATTCAATGACTACTAACAAGTTTCTTTATGTTAAAAAAATGGAAAAGATGAAAAGTTCATTGCTGGCCTGGTCTAACTCACTGCACCCAAGAAAATGTCCAGTCACCCTATGACAAACAGTTGTACGATTTTAGAGAGATATATAACCACAACTCAGAACTTTTCTTTTGACAGCATGATGAACACTATTTATGTCAAAACCTTGGCAAAAGACTATAACTTGATTTGTTAATATGTTTAAACTTTGTTTCACTTAAGATTTGCAATAGTTCATCATCCTCTGATTCCAAAGAGCTGCAAGGATCATTCAAAAGTTTAAAGAATCTCAAAGGAGTATGTGTCAAATAGTCAGAAACAGAATCCATATTTACAGCAAGGGAGTACTGATAAGGGATTCCAAAGGAAGTCTGGAAGAGGCCCATTCTCCCACAATATGTTTACAACCATTTCTGCAGAAACACTGGAATAACACTTCATTTGACAAAGCAAATATTTTTGCTGGCGTGTTAAATATGCAAGAAAACCTTAGACAATAACAATGTCAGTTAAATTGAATCATGACATTCTACAGAACTTTTTTATAAAATATGGGGCTAACTCATAACAACTGTGAGGAAGACAGGTTCTGGATAATATGACTAGTTATAATCAATGTGATGACTTCTCTTATGATCCATCTTGCTTCATTCACACTGACTTGAAAAAAACAGATTTGCTTTAAGGCTCAAAGGAGACTTAGGAAAAAAAAGCATGTTTGGAAAATAAGTTAAATAATATACATTCACATTTTATTAAACCTTAGTTGTCTAAGCAGGATGCTAAGTGGTGTTTAAAATGTGTTAACTGGTTGTTGCTAGCCTAAAGAGAACAAATATAAATCATAACCACTAAGGACATACAGCCAATAGTCCACCAGGAGAAAATCATAGCCTGCATCTTTTACCCAGGTCCTTCTTAATCCCATCCATACATGTCTAGAAAGCAGACTCTTAAAACCAACAGGCCCAAAATTAAAAGAAGGATAACAGTAGCATGTATCAGGAGAACAAGCCGAGAACTGAGAGGAATCAGCATTTGGCCCATGGCAGCCTGAGCAATCCATCACTTCTGTTGAAGACTTAACAGAACTTGTGAAGGAAAGAGAGAGATGAAACTGGAAAGCAGCAGTAAGTTTGAACAAAAGTGAGCAAGAAAGATAAATTCATCTTAGAATATTCAGGACTGCTATATGTATTGAGACTAGCTAGGGATAGATTATGCAGGACTTAATTCCTTTTGGTACATCTGCAGTTTTTCTATTTTGCTCCCTCTCCCACCCTCTTCTGTTCTTTTTTTTTTTTAAGGTCAATATGCTGGTGTAGTTTAAAGTTTAAACAAATTAAGCTCTATTAATCCACTGAACACCATACACAATAACCAGGAAAGTTCATTTATACTTCCCCAGTAGGTTCTCAAATTCCTCATACCCATTAAAACCTTCCTATCTCTCCTACAACTTCTCATAAATGCCAAAAATCATGTGGAAACACACAGGCCAAGATAATCAAGTTATCCTACACAGGACAACTCAGACAGCTAGCTTATTAACTTGTCTCTCTGAAGAGTAGGGCATTCTTACTTAACTACACTTTCATTGTGAAGGTGGAAGCCTACATTTTATTTTGCATTAACCTTCAGTGCTGTAAAGTCCTGGTTACCAGTGCCAGCTGGTTGAAGACACATTATCTCTTGCCTGAGTGAGTTAGAATGATTAACCTATGCCATATCTTATGATTT